AGGATAAACCCTTCAGGTTTATCACATTGCTGCTCTCCAGAAGATAATCCTCTCATGTTTGAAAGACAGACCTTGACTGTTGTAGTTCTAGGAATCTGGGTATTGCTGGAACAGGATCAGGAGCAGGATTAGGATCAGGATTAGGATCAGGATCAGGATCAGAACAATAAGTTTATTAAGCATAAAGTTCTGTAATAATGAATATTCATTTTTAGGAAAACTTGATGAACCTCAGAATTCATACTAATGCTTCATTTGTTAAAGTGGAGGTTTTGTTTGTGTGCAGAACGCTGACCTGGACTCCGTCCTGGACCGTCCTGGTCCCATCACCGTCTTTGCTCCCAGCAGTTCAGCCTTTGATGCGATGACCGAAGGTCACCTGTCCTACCTGAGCAGCGCCGAAGTCAGACTCACAAACACACACAAACAAACAAACAAACAACATCAACCTTAAATCAGCTGTTTGTCAACGTCTCAAATCTCATTTTTAGGGTCACAACAAACTGGTGGAGCTTCTGAGGAACCACATCGTCCTGTCGGCCGCGGTGAGTACCACTTTAACAAATCAGTGTATACGTTTTCAGACCAATCAGATCTTCTGAAGACGATTATGATTCGTTGTCCCCTGAAGCTGGACGTCTTCAACGTCGTGTCCGGCCCCAGACTCGAGACGATGGCCAATCAGGTTCTGACAAGTAACGTGACAGAAAATGTAAGTTTGGATCTTAACGATCACAAATGATTGAGTGTTTCATCTGTTTTCATCAGATATCAGAGAGTTGAATATATATAATAAAGGAAATCAATCAATATCGACGGGTCGGTTGTTTTTCAGGGTCAGATTACGGTGAACGGGGCGACGGTGTTGGAGGCGGCGGTGGGGGCTAAAAACGGTCGCCTGTATGTGCTGGATGGAGTTCTGACTCCGCCCTCCATCGAACCCGTGCTGCCCCACAGGTGTGACGTCACCGAGACCAAGATCATCAAGGTGAGCAACGACTGGCGGCCATGTTTGTTATGACAAGAGTTTTATTCTGGATCCTGGTCTCACTTTTAGTCGTTAGTGGGACTTAATAAAATACATTTTAGTCTCACTTTTGAAGTTTGAAGTTGTGTCCCTGTTCACCTGACGACCCATGTGTACTTTATGTGTACTTTGTGTGTACTTTATGTGTATTTGTTTATTATTTAGCACCAAGTCGGACGTATCAGGGTTTCAAGAGAAATCCCAGATTCTCAGTTCTAATTATGACGATTAATAATTTGAAAAACTCCAACACGATAAGTCTTAATTATTTATCTAATTAGCGCAACATAAAATGTGTTTTTGATTATATTCTTTTCTAATATGTATATGTGTTATGTCTGTTATTTGATCCAACATTTTATTCCAGCTTCTCAAATGTGACGACTTCCTGCTTTCAGACTTGTCTTTTTTCAGCTTTTTAGAGATTTAGAAACCTTCAATGAGTCGAGTCCATTTTATTTATTTTCCTTCACAAACAAAAGACTTTCCCAAAAAACAGCAAACGTTGTTTAAAGTCCGTTTTCTGTGAAGTGTTTCTTTTATCTTCAGGGTGAATGTTCGGGCTGTTCTAAAGTCACACAGTATCAGTGCTCGACCGGAGTCAACACGGTAAGACGTCTCACTCTGCTTGTTTTCTCCAGGGTTTTATATCTTCCTGATATCTCTTGCTATATGATCAGAAACTCTTTATTGATCAGGGCTCCTCCACCTTCGGATGCGTCTACACTCTGTCCATTGGCAGAGCAGCTGTCAACATCCTGGCAACGGGTTGCTCGCCTCTCTGCAAAGCAACCGTCACGGTAAACGAACACACCGGCACAGATCAGATTACAAAAAGTGTCAGTTCAAGTTTTTAATGTTTCTGTTTTGTCGTTCAGACTCTAGCGTGTTGTAAAGGTTTCTATGGTCCGGACTGTAGACCCTGTCCAGGTGGATACCAGACTCCGTGCTCCGGACA